ATTCTTTAGGAGTTATGACAAAAAAGACCTAAAAACCAGAACATACTCTACTGCGTTTTGGAACCGAAAGTTTTCAACAAAAGCACGCAATTCAAAAGTTCTGCGATCACAACTGTTAACAACTTCGCATTATTGTTTTTAACTGTCCGCGGCAAGCAATCGAGAATCCGGGGGGCCCTCCGGTCGAAAATATACTTCTGCCGCTTCGTTTTTTCCCAGGCTATTTTCGGACTGTTCTGCGTTTTTTTTACAGATCTCATCGGAGGAACTGATGTATTGTCACTTGCGCTCTGATTGGCTAGCTTGAACGTGAATGACAGTTACTGCTGGCAACACTGATCCTCCTATTTTTAGTCATATGATCAAGCCGCGAGGCTTCGCGAGGCTATTTTTAAAATTGTTTGCTATTCACGCCCCATTTGAATTCTAAATATCATCCCTGGGGATTAATTAATGATATGAAACTGAGTATATATAAAGGAAAACTCTGGTACGCTTTGTCCCTTTCACTTCACTGTGTCCGACACGATTGGCGACCCACCCGCCCTCCCCAGCGAGTAAGTCGGGTTCCAGATTCAGTCTGTCTTGTGCTTGTCCCAGGTCAGATTGATTCCCCGTACCTTATTATGATTTCATGAATAACAATACCCAGGGATGAATATTATACTAAACACTACAACAATTGTCCACTTCCACTTCAGTAAAAAAAATGAAATTCACATGCACATATTTTTGAATGTATACTGTATGTTAACACCCTTACCACTAACGCCATTATTCCTCGTTTTGTGTACTTCGTTGTTTGAGTAAAGATCGAAATAATGTTGCGCACGACCTGAAATGGTAAATTAAAACAGTAAAATACGTTAGAATAACTCATAAAAAATCGAAACGATCTGTCGATCATAAGTTTTATGATGAAGGTGGCAAAATTAAAAAGAACGACTGAACAAAAGACCTCATTAAATATTCTATTGAAAATTCCAAAACGGGGCTCTCCTACAATATCATATGATTTTAGTGTTCTGAATATTTAAAGAGATCTTTTTTGGCCATAACTATTTTGTAACAACCAATCTCACCCAGACCTTTTTGCCACAGCAAAATACTGTTGACGGTGACTCCGAATAAAACAGCTGTTAGATCGCTGATTCGCATTTTAACAAATGATCACGAGCCAGCTAGGTAGCTGCGTCAGTCTAAAAGGTACATTTGACTTCAAGAATTTCGCCTGACGTTTTTCTTTGTGTCAAAAGGATGCTATCTGCTTTAAAGGGTGAGAAAAAACTCGCTCGGGATTGTTTTCAAAGAGTGCGAGCTTACGTTTATGACGTAATTTTTTTCATTCGATTTGTTCTTGAAAAAAGAATGCGCGAGCCTGCATTAATTTTGAACGGGATGATCATCCAGCGCAGGCTGAAAAATACAGAAGCCGGCTTTGAAATTAAACAGGCTCCAAACCAACTCGTAAATTTTAGGTATAAATTTATCAACTTTCTCTCTCTCTTCCCTTTAGAGCCTCCCCCTCCCTCCCCTCCCCCCAAAAAACATTAAACATAAAAAACAATGACTAAGATAAGGTATCAGCATATTTTACATCTTTCCTACAGTGAGGTAGCAAGTAAAAATTCGAAATCCTTAGAACAGCAGGTCCAACTGATTCAAATGTTGACTTGGCTCTTCATACTTAAACAAAACTATTTCCGTGTAAACCCCATACATTTATCATGCATACATGTTTCGACTCTATTCATATTATACTATATGTGAGGAAAAGTATGAAATTGCTGCATTCATAATAAATGTATGGGGTTATACGGAAATCTGACCACAAAACCTATCTAAATCTGACGACTATCTTGAAATCACTGAAATCATGCATCAACTTAAATTTAACTAGCTCAGAAACACAACTAAATTTATATTCTCTGTGTAAATCATAATGCAATTAAATTAGCTTAATACATACTATAGTTTTTATTTTGCGACAGCTGGTACTGTTTGAAAAATAGTTCTTTTTTTCTTTTCTTTCTTTAAATTTGTGTGTCTCTTCCCTCGCCTCGATTAGGCTCTCCTATACGCGGGTGGAAGCTATCGTATGATTGTAAATTGAAAGTGAATGAATAAAGTTGAAGTTGAAGTTGAAGTTGAAGTTGAAAAGTAAATTTCAGTGTGTACAGGTCGGGATCGAAGTGCCGAACTTCTCACCAACAACTTGCACCTTAAATAATAACCCATTATTGTCTCTTAAATACGCTATATTGTTACCCATTTGCAACTAACAATTTAAAGAGAGGATACACTCATATTTAGAGGTTGAACCTCTCCAAATGACTCGAGCTCCATGCAAGCCCTTAGACCAACCAATTAACTGCATGTAAGTTAGGGTTGAAGGGTAACAGAAACATGCGAGGAAACTGATCGACAAAATGCTTTACTTATGAAGCTGAGAGGCACCCTCAGGGAACTTGACATAAAACTGTTAAAATTATGAGTGACTATTTTTTCTTTGCCAAGAGTTACCTGCAACACATACCAACGAGATAACTTTTCAAGTAACAGTCAATGAATAGAAAGAAAAAGTATTTACTGTTTTTAGATTTGCCCGAAAAATTAAAGATAACACCTACTTAAAAAGCTCTTAACTTTTTGGCCTAACGATGTTCGCTCCCTGTTGTAGATTCTTGGGGTGTCTTGCTTTAATCCATTTTAAGGTCAAATGAAGAGTCAATCCTTTCTTACTTTGTGATAAAATTAGCAGCTTTAAATCTCTCACTTTTGAATAAAAAAGCTGTCCCTGGGGTGTCCTCACTTATATAAGCCATATATATGTTCCCCCTCAAGGGGTATGGTTTTTGAAACGGTTTCGGTCTGAAAACGGATATAGACTTTACCCATTTTGGACTGGAATCGGGTAATACGGGAGTAGTGTATCGATGTATTTGTCGTCTCAATCCCAAATGAATCAGAAAAAAAAAGAGTAGTATGCGAATTCGAAATGGATTTTAAGAAATCTTTTTGTTGGCGTTCTAATCTAAGTAATGGAGGGATTTGGAATCACTTTACGGTAAACGTTGAGTTTCACCACCTTACCAAGTTTTCCCGCTACTTTTCGTTTTCTTACTACGGACAAAACATTACAGTATCATGGCAGGGTAATCCACGAGACTTACTTTGCACAGTGTTTAACTATTTATTTCCTTATTTGAAACCGTTGTTAACTAAATGTGACGTTAGTCCTTTGCCGTAAACGTAATTCTAAATCTCTCTATTAAAAGATGACAAAAATTCTTGCCTTGCCAGGTCAGTCCAAAAAAGATATGGCCCTGGTTGTTCAAACGTTGGATAGCGTTATCCACCGGATAAATCACTATCCAGCGGATAAGTATTTGGGAAACAAATTGCGTTATCCAGTGGATAGAGATTAATCCATTGGGTAACGCTATCCACCTTTTGAACAACTGGGGCATGGACTTTTAGAGGCTAGGTCTCAAAACGGGTGTGTAAAATAACTTTTTTGCACTGAAAAAGGGTCAGGATTTGGAGAACTGGGCTGCACACCCCCACCAGGAATTCCCTTGATTACCCCCCGCGAAGCTGTCCCACTTTGTAATACTGTACCTGTCACGCTTAGTACAATAGTATTATAACTCAGGGCTTGCTTTTATATCGTTTATAAATGTATTTAAAGGTTTGAAAAATTTTAATAGCCATTCATTCTCCATTTATACTACATCCAGTATAACTACTGTTACGATCATGTCTATAGCATTTTTCTTTTACTTTACAAACTATTCTTCTTGCATAAAAGTCTCTATACTCCTCAGGAAGTTCCTCTAAGGCCTTAATTGCACGGTCCATTATTTGCATAGCCCTTGAAGCAGGAACCAAATCCTTGTTCCCATATGTGTCCTTGCTGTCATAGTAACAGGGGTCCAAATGGCGCCAGAACACGTTCACTGCTACTCCAAACTTCAAGATAAAAACGTAGAAAAGTGTAAGAAACGGAATAAATTAAATGGTTTAGCCTCTTTTTGCAAATTTCTAGTATTTTGTTATAGGGGGTGCCTATTCATCATCATCATCATCATCATCATCATCATCATCATCATCATCATCATCATTTATTAGCCTTTTTGTTACAGCAAATTTTACAGGATACAGCAGGTTGTTAGGTGAGGAGACTTAAAGAAACCACCAGGCTTATATAGAGAGGCCACCTCGACATCACAATATTATAAGAAATAAGGGCTATTAGACAGAGGGTGTTTACATTTAGAGAGGGGCATCTAATACAAACTTAGCACCGTAAAGGGGGCCTTAATTAGATAAGAGGTTTTTTTTGGAGGGGGCATCAATTAAATCATTTACGGTGATTAAGGGCCTGTTTACATGAAGGTGGGGGACCCCAGCTAGGTGACATAACATGTGGCGGGTTACCCCACTTAACATGTAAATGTGATCACATTAAAATGAGAGATAACATGGACATGCGGGTTACCCCACCTAAGCGGGTTACCTCACCCATCTGGGGTACCCTACTTCCATGTAAACAGACCCTAACTTTTGACTAGCAGATTTGGGACCTAGCGAAGTTGGTAGTAACTTTCTCAAACTAATTTGTAGTTCTTAAAGAAAGTACAAAGGCAATTAATCTTAAATGAGTCTTTGAAAAACTGCTCATTTTTGCATCCTTAATTTCTCCTTCTAAAATAATTTTGTTTGAGAAGTAATATCAACAATTCAACACAGTGTTTCATCACCAGATGAAACACCTCGAAGTTCGTCAAAAATACTCCGCTGCGCAATGTATTTTCAACTCTCTTCTCAGTGTTTCATCTGGTGATCAAACACTGTGTCTCATGTTTGATATATTACATGAACCACTCACCTCTAGAGAGATCACATTATGAAACCACATGGCAGGAATGAACAACACATCCCCAGGCTCCATAAAACACTCATAAGGAACTACCTCAGTGAACTTAGGAAACCTAGACAGATCTGGGTTATCTATGTCCAACACCTCTGATTTATCACCATTTAAATAAAGTTTTGTAGCCTCTCTTGGGCTGTAGAGCACCACACGTTTTCGTCCTATGACTTGGATTAGGAGGTTATCCATAATCTGAAAAAGGATACCAGAAATCAAGTAACATTAAAACTTGTGGTGGAAAATGCAGGCCAACTCATGCTGACAGAAACCACAAAATCCACTCAAAAATTTAGGATGCAATAATTACTACATTTTTTTATACTACTACATGAGAAATTTCTGCAATTGGATTGGATCAGTGTAGTGGTGTTTCAGCTACATTTGAAATACCTACATGTGAAAATTACAAACCTTTTGTGGGTAGTAATATTAACAAATAATAGCATGATTTGTACGTGATATTTGGCATAAACGCCACTTCTGATATTTCAAAATTGTCTCAAATTTCACTTGCCTAACAGCTTGTGAAATTACGTATAAAAATTTTGAAATAATATCACTGGTGGTATATATGCCAAATATGCCAAATCATGCTATTGCCTATACTAAGAAAGATTTTGGTTAATCATGTGTTGCTCATATGAAGTTGAAGCTTATCTGGATGCACGCTACATATTTGGCCAATGAAAAGCTCAATTCGATGGGTAAGGACGTCACCCAGCCCTCCCTTCTGTGGAAGTCTATTGATTTAGCTAAGATGTTATTCACTACTCAGTGTACTTGTTAATGACTTTGACTCAATAAACTTTTAGCCCAACATCGCATTGTGTGGTCTTTGAGAACAAAGTAATTATAATCACTGATTACAGAAGAAATTGTTTGGGAAGAGTGCACTTTAAAGAGGACGTTTTTGGAGAAAACATGCTCAAATACTGTAAACTGTTTTTAATTAATAAGGAGCTAAGGCAACAACGACTGCAACAGCTATGAAAATGTCAGTTTAAAAGAGTGTACCACAGCTTCAAACTTAATTGCACTTATTCCATCTTGTTCAATTTGTCAAATGTTGGTGAATTCTTCAGGAGTTGAATTTTAAAGGCCTGTATCAAAGTTCCGGAAAAGAAAAACAGGATTATTGAATTGCGGCCACATTCTCCACAAAACATGAAATTAGGCAATTTCACGTCATAGTTGTGCCACAGTGGTAAAGAAATGTAAAAAATAGTGTGATGCACGCGTAGAGTTGTTGTTTTGCCAATCTAAATCTATCGCTTTTCTGCCAATCTCGTTGCCATCGCTGTTGTTGTTGCTTATAAGCTCCCTAATAATGCATTATGAATACTTACATCATAATGAGTCCACAGCTGGCCATTAGAGGAGCTTATTCGAAACACGCTGGAAAAGAATCTGTCCTCAGGGTAGAGTTTTGGTATTTTAATATCCTGAGCTAGTTTAGGAAACTGCACAGCTATGTCTGATATGTCCTAGACAATAAAGCAGAAATTACAGTGATTACAAATTTTATGTCCAGTCCATAGAAATCTTTTAGTCAAGTATGCTGGGCTTGAAAATTGAATTCAAGCTTGTCCTTTGGGGAAACAGCTTTCACAATTCACTTGGCTGTGGCCACTTCTTGCTCATGTCAGCTAGTGATTTTGCTAGAGGATAATTTGTACCCTGGACTGTTCCCCATTGGGCAAGTAACCTATAAAAGTTATTTTCCAAGGAAGGAAAATTTACTTGTCCCAGACTACTGGATGGGACTATTTGCAAGCCCAGCATAAATGTAAGTGGATTAGTATTAAAAGTCAATGACATAAGTGTTTTTTCAAAACGTTAACATCTCAATAAGATGATCATGACCTTTTGCATTTTTATCATGATAAGTTCATTTACATATTCCATAATTTATCACCTCTGTACTAAAATACATAGTTGTGTACACGTAAGTTGATTATTTATTTGGGAGACATTTTTAAATTCTTATCAATACTGCTTCTCACCTTTCTTGGATCATCTCCAATGGATCTCAAGTAATATTTTTCTTCCTAAAAAGGGAAAATAGTTTTATTCTATCACTTGGTTTCTCCAAGTCTTTTTCCCCCATGTGCTATATCTTCACAACTGGTAACATTTTCAGTCAAAGTCAGGAACAAAAGCAGCGGATTGAAAACAAATCTTAATTCACAAAAGTTCACACTGCCACTTTTGAATTTTGAATGATTGTAATAATTCAGACTAAGCAACTTTATATTGCCTAGAGAATACTTGTGATGTACTGGAATAAATGAAAAAAATACATGTAAACTGCAAATGTGCCTTGCATCTGCAGGGGAAGAAGAACATAGCAATTATTTCATTAACAGAGCCAGTAACAAATTTCCATCCAGGTGGATGGCCAAGAGCTTGAGAATAAGAGTAGAAAATCAAAAGTAAAACATAATGTTTCACTAAAATATTTACATTTACCATACACATTTTGAGTTAACGAGCAAGCAACTAATGCAGTTTGAAGTGCTATTATTAAAAAATTTAACAATTGAAGAAATGCATTTGCTTGAAGTGCATATTGATGGATTGAAATGGAAGAAGTCCCATATTAGAGCTGTTGTCAAACTAAGCTATGGGTGTGGGATGTATAGCACTATGTAGGTAGGTTAAGTCTGATGCATGAGCCATGTGGCAAATAGTTCTATTCCCCTCCATGGATGGGATACCGGTCCATTGCAGTGCTACCCTACCCTCCCCGAGCCCCAGATGTTCAAAAGGTGGATTTGACACTATCCACTGGACAAAGCACTATCCACTGGACAACGAAATACTTATCTGCTGGATAGTGATTTATCCAGTGGATAGCGCTATACAACATTTGAACAACCCGGGCCAGGTAGAAGAAAGACAAAGTGGAGCAAGGTTTCTTGTGCAAGTACATGTAAGCAAGGGCTGGGGCAAGTTGATGTTTCAGACCACCTTGTTGGTAGGGGGCAAATAAGGATATTGGAGTGAAGAGGACAAAAACAAAGGTAATAAATTATTGTTTTAACCTGTTGGTTTATCTGGTAAACTTACTGGACAAATGAAATATTCTCCGTGGACATCTTCGCTAGCTCGCTCAACAAACTGGTTAAATGGAAGGGTTCTGAAATGGCAGAGATTGAATAAAAGTAAAAAATAGGGACTTAATACGGGAAAAAATAACAGATTCCCATGTTTGGATATTTTAGGGTATTTAAAGAATACCCACAAAAATCCCAAATTTGGAAGAGTGAGACAAGTCCCAACCAGGGAACTTGGTTGGGAATTCCCTGGTTGGGACTTGTCTCACTTTGCCAAATTTGGGATTTTTATGGGTATTCTTTAAATACCCTAAAATATCCAAAAATGGGAATCTGTTATTTTTTCCTGTGATACAAGTGAGGGTTCGTTTCAACAAGATATAATACATGTATACAAAGTTTAGATGTTAAGGTAATTCCCATGTTTGGCATTGTGCATCCCCTTGTGTCCAGGCACTGCAACTTCAAAAGGTGGCGATGATTTTCACAGGACGCATAAGAAGAGGTAATTAAGGCCCCTCTTGTAGCCCCAGTGCTTTTAATAGTGATTTTGATAACTCTAACTGGCTAAATAAGTGTTTGTGCTGAAACTCACCCTAGTCCCCTCCTGCAAAATGATCATTTGAAGTCGAAATTGTCTCTTTGTTGTCGTTTTGCGACGAAATGAGAACGGTGACTCCCCATTTCTATTTGCGTTTTCTACTCGTCATGGCTACACAAAAAATATATACAAATCTGGATAGTAGAAGTTGTATTTTGTTTAGATAAGAATGATGTGAAACTCTGCATTTAGAGCAACAGAGAAGAATGAGATAATGCTAAAACTGACCATTTCTCTACACTTACAGTATTTACGATTGGGTAATTTGAAGTCACTTAACTGAAAAATTATACCCCAGACAAAAGAAACAGGCCCAAATTTGTAGTTTTTGCTAATTTTTGTCTGCTGTTCAAGTTCAGAGAATTTCGCGTCCAGCTAGGAAAACAACTCTCAGAATTGCGGGCACACAGGCTGAAAACAAGCACTTTGACCCTATCTATTTACTGCAGTTTTTGAATGTCCTATGCACGTTTGGCTGACAATTGTGCCAAGTTTGAAAAAAATCTGGATAGTCATTCCTTTTCAAGGGAATTACCTTAAATTCCTGGGCCCAGTTGTTCGAAGGCCAATTAGCGCTTAACCCGGGGTTAAATTTAACCCGAGTTTCTTTCGCTTGTGTTCATCTTAACCCAGCTTTGAACAACTCAGCCCTGATTTTATTTTATTCTTAATTCAAATTTTATTTCCTTTTGCTTCAAACCATTATCGTACATACATATCCCAGAACAGAAGAAAATAAAGTTTGAAACAGGAATAAAATTTAAGTACAACATAAAGTAGGGCATAGTTAGTAGAACTAACGATCGGTAAGGTAAGGTGTAAGATGAGGTAAGGTTAAATCACAAAGGAAAACACCTTTACATTATAAAAGGTGCTCTCGACTTTGGGTCGGATTAAAAGTAATCAAAAGCATTGAGAAAGCCATACTTGTAAACAAAGTTTTTATGAATAAAATCCATCCTTCCAGTGGGACATACATGAATCTTGACCGTCTTTTCTCCACCACACTGCGCTAGATATTCTGGACTCCATTTGCTGCACGCACTTCCAATGTCGAGGCCCCGTAAAATAGCAGGCTCGCGTTTAGCAGAAATTTCAGTGTCAAATATACTTTTAGTCACTCCATGGTAAACTCTTACTTGTTTCTTGGCATTTTCTGACATTTTATCGCGTTATTGCAAGGTAATTTAAAAGGCTAAAAATACCGTTCCGCCGCCATGATGTTTTGATCATCTTCCAGGCGTTCCGTCAGGTCTCAGGAGGACTAGGTTCTAAAGAGACCCAGGCTCTTCTCTAGTAAAAACTGAATTCAAGTGAGACTATGGTCAGCGGCAGCGTATGCTTACACCGGTAGGTACTTCACATATATGTCCCCATACATGAGGTACCTACCCTTACACCACGTACCTACATCGAAACCACATATAAGCTCGGTCAACCGCAGTGTCCTTGAATGTTCCTTTTACACCCAACGTCAATTTTCGGGAAATATGTGTTCGGAAGACGATTTGAGATCTAGAATTTTCGGAACATTTGTTGTAAAATTTCTTGCTTGCCTGCCTCTCCTAGGATTTTCGAACATCTAAAAAATGGTATAATTGGCCATTTTTAACGGATTTTTACCCTAAAAAGGTCACCTAGAATTTTCGGGAGCCTTTTTTCTGGCTGAAATTTTCGAAAAGGTACGTTTTGATCCCTATAATTTTCGGATCACTAGACTTTCAGCTAGAAAATCCGAACAGATGAAGAATTTTCTGTCTGTGCTCCACAACTTTTAACAATCATCACTTTGAAATACTGATCAAATTGATATAAGGCTCGTCTTTACTACTTTGAAAATCAAGAATGTCTTTAATGTGAAAGATGCTGTCCATGAGGGGTTTCGCTCCCGTGTGGTTTGTAATTTTTCGAGTGTAAGTTGTAATGCTTGTTATGTTGGTGAAACCAGCCGAAATTTCTCCACACGACAGGCCTTCGAACGTTTTTAGACATGTGCAGAGTTCAGAGTCTTGTGGAACATCTTGCATACCGGACTGCTTCCAGATCCTGGACTCTGCAGCTACTAAGTACCAAGTGAAGCTNAGACGATTTGAGATCTAGAATTTTCGGAACATTTGTTGTAAAATTTCTTGCTTGCCTGCCTCTCCTAGGATTTTCGAACATCTAAAAAATGGTATAATTGGCCATTTTTAACGGATTTTTACCCTAAAAAGGTCACCTAGAATTTTCGGGAGCCTTTTTTCTGGCTGAAATTTTCGAAAAGGTACGTTTTGATCCCTATAATTTTCGGATCACTAGACTTTCAGCTAGAAAATCCGAACAGATGAAGAATTTTCTGTCTGTGCTCCACAACTTTTAACAATCATCACTTTGAAATACTGATCAAATTGATATAAGGCTCGTCTTTACTACTTTGAAAATCAAGAATGTCTTTAATGTGAAAGATGCTGTCCATGAGGGGTTTCGCTCCCGTGTGGTTTGTAATTTTTCGAGTGTAAGTTGTAATGCTTGTTATGTTGGTGAAACCAGCCGAAATTTCTCCACACGACAGGCCTTCGAACGTTTTTAGACATGTGCAGAGTTCAGAGTCTTGTGGAACATCTTGCATACCGGACTGCTTCCAGATCCTGGACTCTGCAGCTACTAAGTACCAAGTGAAGCTAAAAGAATCTATGTTCGTAAAATGGTAGAAACCCTATCTCAACTAGCAGGTGAAACACATAAACCTGACTCTGTCCCTGTAAGTAACTAAGCGACACTAATTTTAAACTTTTCAGTGCACAATATTGCCAACGCAATGTAACGAACTTTGTATCATCGCGCACAATTTAAATTCAACGGCGATTTCAAAATATGTAACACTGAAGATGACGGATGTACTGTCGAGAAATGTCTGGTAAATTAAAGAAAGTTGTTATGTAACTTAACTTATGAAGTAATCAAATTCTCGAGCAAGCACTTTAAAAAGCAGTGTGTTCACAGAAGTGCTTTAAGCATTCACCGTACTCGGGATCGGGCACCGTGCGCAGGCATCAGTTGTGAAAATAGTCCAAGAGACCAAAAGAATGTGCTATATGATTTTCCTTTTTTAAGACTTCAGATAGTAACGGTTTTTTTCCATTAAGCCATCCTAAGATTTGGACTGTACAGTCTCTATTTGGCAGAACTAGTCCGATGTTGTAGAGCTGAGACAATCGTCAGAAATTTTTTGGGGTGAGATGCACGGAGGTAAGCCATTTAATAAAAGTGAAACGCAGCGGCCCTAGTACAGTGCCTTATGGAACTCTCGAGGTAATATGATCCTGATCCAAAGACAGCATACCATCTATCTGATAATGACCTACACCCCAGGGTCTTATTGAGGGTACCTCGACAACAATCAACACTTAGTATTTTCGCTCTGTAACATGAAACAGTTAAATTGTAGGTATAAAACACTAACAGTAAAACAACCTCTTCCCCAGGGCTTTTCCCTAAGAAATGGGAGGGGGCTGGGGACGAGGTTGACAGTGAAAATATCACTGTAACAGTAAATATTTTTTAGAAAGTATGAAGAACTCTTATATCTCTGAAGAATAAGAAAAGTAAACGACCTTCAGAGGAATATTTCGTACTTCTTTTGCTTCTATAGCTGAAAAAATCCAATCCAGAGAGCCCTATCCCGAGCCCGCATAGTTGTCAGCAGACAAAATAAACAAGCCATAGTCAGTCACACTGCTCAGCACTACAACATAAATTTCAATAAGTCCTTTTACATCCAAGTCTTACTGATCAAGTTGAGACCCTCAGAGAAATTGCCGAACTTAACTCCCCTTTTTATCCTGGTTAACATAAAGACATTGCCTTCTAAAGTTTCGAAGCGTCGGGATATTATTTTTACTTGTGAAATCTTTGGGAAATTACAATAATTAGTCAAATAAAAACAATTTGTATGGAAATAAAGTGAGTTACTGGCAACACGTCAACAATGATATAAATAATTTACTAACGTCAAGCGTATTCAATATTCTATTTACAGTTTGTACATCTTGTTACAGCTTAATGTCTAGCAAAAAATACACATATTTATAAAAAGTAAATCTTACACCTCTTAAAGAATACATCTAAAAAACCCTTTTGGTGATCTATATAAAAAATGGGGACTTTAAACCAGAAAAATGCCTTCTGAAGAAGTGTCCTTTTTAAGACCAGTAGATCACCCAAATATGATAGTGATAACGATAGTACTAAAAATAGAAAGTAAATTAAAAGAGTTTTTTTTAGTTTTCAGTAACACCGACTAAAAATGTCAGTTGTCGGTTAAAGCAATCCAGACCCTCCAATAGCGAATGACATCCAGTTAACGGCTACAGTCTATGTGGCTGTGTGACGGCGGGCGGTAATGGATCCATTACCCGGCAGGCAACACTGCGGACGCCAAATAAACATTAACCAACCTCGTTCCCAGTGGGGGAGGGGGGGGGGGGCAGAGTAGGAGAGGACCTTGGGGAACAAGGTTGATCATTGCCTCGGTTAAGATGTCGTGTTGGGGGATTAAGGTTTCTGGAATGCGAATAGGTATGGCCAAAGTTTTTTATAAAAACGCCAAAGTTTCTTATAAAATTTATTATGATCACAAAACTAGACGAAAAATAATTCAGGTCGTCTGTTCAGAAGACGATTATATAACTCAAGCACCAGGCATCAACCTGACGAATCAATTTCTCTAAATTGAACATGTCCTTTGCAGCTAGCTAAGGTTACGAGACAAGAAAAGTTCTAGACTGAACAAAGACCCTTTGTGGATTAATAATTGAACTGGTACATAATTTGCAGGTAACACATTGAAATCTGCGAAGCTGATCGAACTACGTGAAAATTACCTTTGCAATTTAACACCACGCCGATAGAACCTTATAAAAGAGCGGAGTTGTAGCCGTCCATTACAGATTTCAAAGTGTCACTTGGTATATTTTTACTGATCAAGTCTTCTTTAAATCCTACGTTTTTGCGGCATATTCGTTTGCGGTCCTTTGCAGTTACTGTTCAAATAATTGGAACAATCCCAATATAACTCCATATTCCCATGGCAAAGTAAATTCCATGGCGATTTTCCGGTTGAAAAGGAACGAAATTTTAGGGTGTTTTTTTTTTCTAAAAATGCTGTACAAAAAGTCGCCAATCGTTTGTTATTGTGAACATGAATGTCACAAGATTTCCTTGTTGTTATTGCCACGTTCACCGCGAATCACACATGGAATTATTTTGTACATAGCTTAAGTTGTAAGCGTGTTGCAATTAAATCCAGATGAAAAAAATCCTTTTTTTAAAATTTTCTTTGGCCTTATTCAAAAATGATTGGTCAGATTTTTAAACCCAGAAACATCTCCTAAATCTCAAGTACTTTACCAAACTGTTCCTTCCCGAACGAAGGGTATAAAATGGACCGATCAGTACCTACCAATCGATACAGTTTGTTTCCGCTCATAATTCTTTCTTTCTGTATAAATGAAATTAGTATATCATGATAAAAACGCACGCGCAATTATACTGTCAAGTGTCCATTTTTAAGTCCTTTTAACAATTCCAACACGGTCTTGACGTCACTACTCAATGACGCTACTTCTCTATTCAGGTTTAAAACCTGTTCATCTAGTTTCTGAACTGTATGCTTGGTATCGGATAGAT